GCCATCACCTCCTTGTTCTCCAAAACAATGGAGTCCATTGTAAACTGCCAGCTCATGAGGTACCTTGAGGATCACCAGCTGATTAGTGACCGCCAATACGGTTTTCGCCGTGGTAGGTCAGCTGGTGATCTTCTGGTCTACCTAACTCACAGATGGGCGGAGGCAGTAGAGTCCAAGGGGGGAGGCATTGGCCGTTATTTTGGACATTGCGAAGGCCTTCGATCGGGTTTGGCACAAAGCGCTTCTTTCGAAGCTCCCTTCCTATGGGCTTCCCGAGAAATTGTGCGATTGGATCACCAGTTTTCTTGCAGATCGGAGCATCAAGGTCGTTGTAGACGGTGCAAGCTCCGATTGCAAGCTTATTAATGCTGGTGTTCCACAGGGCTGCGTGCTATCGCCAACGCTGTTTCTTCTGCATATCAATGATATGTTGCAAACCCGTAGCATTCATTGCTATGCAGATGACAGCACTGGTGATGCTCTTTACACCGGCCGAGCCAATATTTCTCGGGAAAACGTCTCTGAGTGCCGGGACAAACTTGTGTCTGAAGTCGAGTCTCTGCTGGACAGAGTCTCGGATTGGGGGCGACTAAATCTAGTCCAGTTTAACCCCCAGAAGACACAAGTTTGCGCGTTAACCGCTAAAAAGAACCCCTTTGTCGTATCCCCTCAGTTTCAAGGCACTCCCCTTGTTGCCTCAGCCAGTATCGGAATCCTCGGCGTCGACATATCGAGTGACGTGCAGTTTCGTGGTCACTTGGAAGGGAAGGCCAAATTGGCCTCTAAAAAGCTTGGCGTGCTCAGCAGAGCGGGACAGTATTTCATGCCGGCACACCGCCTGCAACTTTACAAGGCGCAGGTTTGGCCGCTCATGGAATACTGTTCCCATCTCTGGGCTGGGGCTCCCCAGTACCAGCTCCTTCCACTTGACCGCATCCAGCGCAGAGCGGCTCGAATCGTTGACGACCGAGTGCTTTCCGATCGGCTCGATTCACTGGCGATGCGAAGAGATGTTGCATCTCTTTGCGTATTTTATCGCATCTATCACGGGGAGTGCTCTGAGGAATTGTTCGGATTAATCCCAGCCGCCAAATTTCGTGAACGCACTACACGGCAAACGTCCCGATACCATCCACACCATCTGGATGCTTGGCGGTCCACCACTGTACATTTCAAAAGGAGTTTTCTTCCGCGTACAACCTCTCTGTGGAATATATTACCACCGGCGATTTTTCCGGACCGATACGACCTGGGGACCTTCAAGAAAAGAGCTTACTCCTTTCTAAAGGGCCGGCAACGCACCTGCGATTCCCCTGGTGTTGCGGTTGATCATGGGCGGCGGTAGTCACTTAACATCAGGTGAGCCACATGCTCGTTTGCCCCCTCTTCTATAAAAAAAAAAAAAAAATTCTCGCGAAGGAACACCGATTCCTACCAAGGATGATACGCGAGGCTATTGAAATTAAAAACATCCAAATTTCAATAGAGAAGATGGTTGGGTGCTACCATCTGCTTGAGATCCTATAATTAACAAAATTAAACCCAAACCCAAGCATACCACTGCAAGACTTCATGAACTATAAGCTCGTTTTGCGTAAATCGGACCAAAAATTAATATTAAAAAACTGAAGGTAGCCGGACTAACTATGACATTGGGACGTCAAACATCTCAGTCCCCCCCGTGACCATGGGCGCTGTAAAGCACCCGAAACGTCGGGATAATAATAAAAATAAATTAAAGTAATTAAACGCGAAAAAATCCGTAAATAATAGTTTTATTCAATGTGTAGTGTTCGCGTAAATTTAAGAAATCATTCCGTAAAAACTAGTATTATTTCAATGTGTAGTGTTCGCGTAAATATAAGAAATCATCACATATTTCTTTTTCATCGGAAGAAATGTGATTACCATATTTCATCGTTTTGGGAATACTATTAGAATTATTTTTCTTTACATTGCACGCAAACAAAACAGTTTTTGCAAACAAAACGCCAAAAGAATTTTATGTCGTCATCTAAAGAAGATTCGACGGACGAAACAAAATTTTTATAGTCATTACTAATAAGTTTTTTACATCCGTTGCGTAACATGGACAATGTATCATAATCCCGAGGGTTCTTATATTTTTTGAAACGACGATGATATTTTAGTTTTTCTTCTAAGCTTTGACTTAAAGCAGGTGTGAACCATACTGGATAGTTGTTTGTGTCAATTTTGGTCATAGGTGTATTTTTTGCAATAACATTCCTAAGCTCTACATAGAATGCATCAGTCATGCTATCAATATCTTTATGAATTGGCAAGATATTATGCCATTTAACTGATTTTAATTCAAGATTTATTTTTGAAAAATTAGGTCGTTTTTGTTTTTGGGTTTTAAAATTATTTGAGTTTATTTCAACAACATTAATAACTACAACTAATGAGGGATGGTGGTTATCTAAGCGGCTTAATTGCTCCACTTCATAAACCTGAATTCTGTTCGAACTGAGAAGAATTAGGTCTAAAAATTGTCCGTTGTTATTTGATATACTGTTATAATTATCAAGGTTACATATTCTAAGGGTATCACAAAGCAGATTAGCTATTTGACCTCGCGGGTGAAGAGGAATCATATAATTATACTGTGATGATTTTGAACTTCATTATGACGACCAGACGCCAACTGTTCAGTGATGTCTCAGTGATCGCAAGGGTGAAAACTGGCAGCGATCACCGAATGGTTAGAGGCACACTGAACCTAAACGTTAAGTTGGAGAGGTCTCATCTAATGAAGTCAACGCTCCGTCCCCCTCGTGCTCTAATCCAGAATCCCGAGACTTTTCAGCTCGAGTTACGTAACCACTTTCAGTGCCTAGAAGATTGCAATGCAGTGGACGATATGAATGACAAGCTCGTACAAACTGTCCATGCGGTTGGAGCTAAGTTCTGCAAGACCCGCCGCAGAAGAACACAAAAACTCTCCGCTCACACTCTTAATCTCATGGTTGTTAGACGGGAGATGAGGCTGCACTCGTCAACAGATTTGACAGCATACAGGCAACTGAACAGACAGATCTCCAAAAGCACGCGGCGAGACTTACGCAACTTTAATACTGCTCGTATTAAAGAAGCGATCGAGCGGAACCAGGGCTCCAAAGTCTTTGCCAGAGATCTGTCTGCCAGTAAGAGCCAACTGTCAAAGCTGAAGACTGAGTGTGGCAGCATCGTTTCCGGGACATCTGAGATTAAGAGTGAGATTGAGAGGTTCTATGGGCAGCTGTACACATCATCGTTGGTGCCACACGCAAGTGTGAGTAACGATCGAAGAGCAAGTCTTATCCGACACTATTCCGATGATATCCCGGACGTCAGTCTAAGCGAGATTAGAATGGCTCTCCAGCACCTTGAAAACGGCAGGATCGCAGGCGAGGATGGAATTGCAGCGGAGCTTCTGAAAGCGGGTGGAACACCGGTACTTGAAGTCCTTCAGAAGCTCTTCAATTCCGTCCTCCATTGTGGCACGACTCCGGAGGCGTGGAGCAGAAGTGCGGTGGTCTTGTTCTTTAAGAAAGGCGACAACGCTCTCTTGAAGAACTACAGACCGATTTCCCTTCTGAGCCGCGTCTACGTGCTGTTTTCGAGAGTCATTCCGAATCGTCTCGCACTCAGACTCGATGACTTCCAGCCTCCCGAACAAGCCGGTTTCCGAAAATGCTTCAGTACCATAGACCACATACATACCTTGCGGCAGATTGTACAGAAGACTGAAGAGTACAATCCGCCACTTTGCCTGGCGTATGTGGACTATGAGAAAGCCTTTGATTCCGTCGAAATTTGGGCGGTGCTACAGTCCCTTCAGCGGTGCCAAGTTGACTGTGGTATATCGAAGTGCTGAAGTGTTTGTACAGTAGGGCTACGATGGCTATCCGAGTACAGAACCAGAGCTCGAAACCTATCCAACTGCAGAGAGGTGTAAGACAGGGTGACGTTATATCGCCGAAACTCTTCACCGCTGCATTGGAAGATGTTTTCAAGCTACTGGACTGGAAAGGATACGGTATTAACATCAATGGCGAGTACATCACTCACCTTCGATTTGCCGACGATATAGTCCTTATGGCAGAATCGTTGGAGGACTTAAGCACTATGCTCAATGACCTCAATAGTGCCTCCCAACGGATAGGTCTTAAGATGAACATGAACGAAACAAAGATTATGTTTAATGTCCATGTCACACCTATGCCGGTAGTTGTTGGGAGCACTATGCTCGAAGTTGTTGACGAGTACGTTTACCTGGGACAAATAGTGTGACTAGGCAAGTCTAACTTCGACCGATAGGTCAATCGACGGATTCAATTCGGCTGGGCAGCGTTCGGGAAATTACGACATATCTTCTCGTCAGGTATACCTCAATCTCTAAAAACTAGATTGTACAACCAGTACGTGTTGTCAGTGATGACTTACGGATCTGAGACGTGGTCCTTCACTGCTGGCCGTATGAGGACGCTCAAGGTCGCTCAGCGAGCTATGGAGAGAGCTATGCTCGGAGTTTCTCTGCGTGATAGACTCAAAAATGAGGATATCCGCAGTAAAACCAGAGTGAACGACATAGCCCAACGGATTAGTAAGCTGAAGTGGCAACGGGCCGTCCATATAGCTCGAAGAACCGATAACCGATGGGGAAGAAAGGTTCTCGAGTGGCAGCCTCGTACCGGTAGGCGTGGTGTAGGGCGACCCCCCACTAGATGGAGTGACGACCTGATAAAATATGCAGGAAGTCGATGGATGCAGGTGGCTTAGGACCGTGCTTTGTGGCATTACTTGGGGGAGGCCTATGTTCAGCAGTGGACTTGTGAAGGGCTGTGATGATGATGATGATGATGAACATGCGGAGAGAACTTGGTCCCTTAAGCGTGGGTTAATGAGTGTTACAAGAATATTTCTGGGGCGTTCGGAGGAGATGTCATATTTGGAAACTCTACGGCAAGAATGAATGTTCTCATCGTCTAATTGAATATTTACTGTTTACACAGGTTGCGGAATAACAGCATTGGATTTTCAGTTCGACTTTCTGGTACTAACTGAATTTCTAAATTTTGGCGACGGGAAATTTTTTCGATTGATGTTAAACGATTGGTCAGAACATTAATCTCCTTTTGAAATCGAAGTGTTGCAGATTCTAGGTGTTTTATTATGTGACTCTTATTTTCAATTTCTTGCTTTAGGGAAGACTGTTCATCACATATAAAGTTAGTGGTTACAGTAAAGTCGTCTTTAAGCTGCTGCACGACTGAGTCCATCTCAGCTTGAACTAGGTTTTTGACGTCATCCTTCAATGCTTTTCTAAAACTTTCCACGAAATCAGATAGATAATTATTAAGTTTTTTATCCAATACGGTACTAATTTTACCCATGGTGACGAGATTGTCATCGTTTGAGGAAAATAAATGGGAATCGGTTGATGAACAGCTTGAATTTTCAAGGGGCGAATTCAATGGTTTCTCTACGAGTGGTACAAGCGTTTGTTGGACAGGCGTATTGACATTCGATCGTTTAGGTTTAGTTATATTACTACAAGATGGACACATCCACTTTGATTTATATTCAGTAGTTAAAGCCGTAAATTGTTCTTTTTTTAAATTTAGGCACTCAATATGATATTTTGAATGACAGTGATTACATTATAAGCAGCGGTCAGTGCGAAGTAGCTTCTTGTTGCAGGCAGAGCAATTCATATTAATTGTTTTATTAATCTCAAACTGAGAAATTTATGTAAATAAAGTTAAAAAAGACCTCAGCTGTTGGGATTCGATCTAGCGCCTCTTATACTTATTTTCTTGTTGTGTTAATGCGTAAGCTACCTGCTATCATCGTGTGATGAAGACGGTATCCCAATAACTGGTAAGACTGAAATTATAATGTATTATAATCAAACCAAAAGCGGGGTAGACACTTTCGATCAAATGTTTCCTCAATGTCATGTTCGAGGAAAAGCAATAGATGGCCAATGTCTATGTTTTATGGCATTCTGAATATAGCATTCGTCAGTTTTTATGTTACATATTGTCACAACATTCTTGCAAAAAATGAAAAGCCTCTAAATAGAAGGGGAAAAAGTTAAGCGCCCAGTTATCGGAATCGTGGATGAAGGAAAGACTGGGAGCTCCCACTTTGCCAAAGCATGTGAGAGATAATATAGCAAATATTTTTCCGAAACCGGTTGTGCAGAACGATACAGATAATGAAGAAGAACCTTCAGCCAAGAAAAGGCGGTACTGCACCTTTTGCACTAATAAAAAAAAGAATGTCTAAGATGACTTGCGTCAAATGCAGGAAAACAGTTTGCAGCGAACACAAAAATGATGTTTGTTTTGAATGCCTATTAAACCAAATTTGAGCCAACCGATTATAGTTTTGGCTGATTTTTCTTAGTTGATTAGTTAATACGAAATAATTTAATTATTTTTTAAGAAAAAAAAATATTTTCAATACTATGTTCCTGTAAACAGAAGACTGCAAATTTTGTTGATTTTTTCTAGAGGTTTTTTGATTTAAGTTTAATGTTTAAAATATATAAAATATATACCTTTAAACGAGCAATTCTTGTATATATATATAGATATATATATATATATATATATATATATACATATAATCGGGATCTCGGAAACGGCTCCAACGATTTTCATAAAATTTAGTGTCCAAGAAGTTTCGGGGGGCAATAAATCGATCTAGCTGGGATTTATTTTTATAAAATGTCCTTTTGTTCGTGTTTTCAGGCAATAAAAAAACTGCTACAATATAAGAAGGTAAATTTTGATAGGTTATCAACGATCGTAATAGCTCAGATGGGATGTTGTTCGGGCGTGATATCGGAGTTCTGTGGTTCGCGTCCCGTCTTGGGTCCGACTTTTTTTCCTTTTTTTTCAAGTTACCTTCTTTTGTGAGAAAATCTATTATTTCGAGTCCTTTTTTTAGTATTTTTTAAAAATACTAAAATTTAAATTAAACTAATTGCACTCATTATTTTTTATTCAAATAACCAGTTCAGTTTTTTCTATTATGTCAATAAGATCAAAAACTATTATTCATGTAATTTGTATATAAATGTAACTTAAAATAAACCGAGCTAAGCTCGGTCATCCGGGTACTATAAAATATTTCACTAAAATAAGTTTTTTATTATTAGTTCATTAACCACATTTCAAAACGATCAAGTACATAAATACAATAAATAGGTATTTCATTAAAAAAAATATTAATATATCGTGCGCCTCCGAAGCGCATGGTTATCTTTTGTGACGGTCAAAATATGGTTATCTTTCTAGGGTTAATATTCAATAGTTTTCTTTGATATGTCTGAAGTTGGATCATTTTAGTTTCTTCCATATTTATCTGTAAATTATTACAATAAAGCCAGTGTATGTTTTTGATTGCTTTATTTATCTCTATTTCATATGTATCTGCATTTTCACATTTCACGATAAGGGTTGTGTCATCAGCAAACAAGATTGTGTTATGGCGAGTGATATTAGAGAGATCATTAATATACATAAGGATTAAGAATGGTCCCAATACACTGCCTTGTGGCACGCCAAAGTCATTTATCTGATTGTCGCTTCTGTATAACATTTTTTTTGTCTTTATTGCCTTTAGATATTTCTACACATTGTTGTCTCTTACATAAATAGTTTCTCAACCAGTCGTTAGCTTTACTTCTTATCCCATATTTTTCTAATTTGTGTAGGAGCAATTTATGGTCCACGAAATCGAACACCTTGCTCATATCCAGGAAGATTGCCGTAATTGCTGGAAGGCCATCATTTATAGCCTGGGTGACTACTTTAATCAAATTAAAACATGCTAACGAGGTTGTACTATTTTGTTTAAATCCAAATTGCTCCTCTTTAAGTAAACGATGACTTGTCGTAAATTCTTGGAGCCTTCTCAGCATAATCTTCTCGAATATTTTTGACAATATGGGTATCCGCGTCACTGGCCTATAATTATTCACTTCGTATTTTTCGCCTTTCTTAAAAAGTGGCTTAACGATTGATTTTATCAGTATATTTGGGAAGGTACCTTCTTCAAAAGACATGTTAAATAACATAGCGGTTGACATATGTATCGTGCGGATAATTTAATTGAAGTGGTTGTTATGTTATCAAATCCTACTGCGTTTGTATTATTAAGACTTTTAATATTCCGAAATATTTCCATAACATCAGTAGGTTTAAGGAATATTGCATGTATGTTATTAGTCGTGATAGTTTTGTTTATTTCGTCAACATTGTATTTAAAATTATTGTTATTTGTCAAGTTTATATAAAAGTCACTTATTTTCTTTGCGTCGTCATATATCCGATAATTTTTTATTATTCTGTCAATTTGTGTTTTCGTATTTTGGTCGTCAATATTTTCATTAATTACCGCCCATGTGGCTTTACATTTATTTTTATTATTGTCAATATATTTCTTACTTTGCATCTGTCTCGATTTATATATGCACTTTTTAAGTATGGAACTAGGTATATGATTTATATTTTTATTGAGTATTTTTCCGTTTGTTTTATTATATTGTTGACTAAGGTAGAGATATCTTTTCCTTATACAGGATTTTCTAATGCCCTTCGTCAACCATTTATGGTTCCCTTTTTTAGTTGCCCTTTTTATTATGTGTATTGGAAAGCAAAGATCAAAAAATAGTTTAAATAAATCATGAAATTCAACAAACGCCTTTTGTAAGTTATTTTTTTTCGTGTACAGTTGAGAAAGAAAGAGACGATATGCAACTACAGAACTTGTCCATGTTTTCTTTACTATAATCTCTGACATCCTAATACCAACTGCATATTTCATACGATTTATTCGTTTTGAGCGAAAGTGTTTGTCCTGTTTCTTGATCAGATAAGGCCAGGTGATGTATCTCGGCTTTAACTTGCTTGATGTTGCTTGCTAATTGATCTAGACATGACAATTGTCTTGTTGGTGTTTTAATGTGCAACTCAATGTTAAAAAAAACTTAATATACTTTGTAACTCCTCACAACTCTTATTTGATTTTAATATGTCCAAGTTCCAGTCACCGCAAAGAATAATTCTTTTATGCTTTTTAGTAAGTCTTGCTAGTAACTGTTTTAGCTTTTCAAGAAATATTTGTGAATTGCTATTAGGAGTTCTATATAAACAGATAATCTTAATCTTATTTACTTTTACGCCACAACATTCAAAATTAAATTTACATGTCAAATTATTAATATTAGTCACGTTTTTATATTTAAAATTGTTATTTAATATTATACATACCCCTCCTTGTTTACTGTCCCGTGAATACGATGCAACTAGTTTGTAAACAGGTATTTTAAAAAGCATTTCTGTACCTTTTTCAAGGAAAGTTTCTCTCAAACATACCATATCTATCTTTGAACCTTTTTGTGACAACTCTCGAAATGTAAATGTTAGTTCCTCAGTTTTATTTATAGCGCCGGCAATGTTCTGGTGAAATATTCTAAAATTTAATTCCAATTTAGGGACGAAAACATTTATTTGTTTCTAAAGGCAACTGTGTGTCAGGTTGTCCATTTAAACACTGTATTGATTTTTTAAAATAATAGGGTATTGTTCCCTTCTTATAAGTTTCGGTATTTACCGTTTGCTTTTTGTTCTAATAGGCAGTAGCAGAGTTCAATTCCTGGCAATTATCACCTGAATGTACATTTTTACAAGACTTAAAGTAGAAAGGAATTGTGCCCTTCTTTGGAATAGTTTTGCATTCTGTTTTAGCCTTTTTCATTAATAATAACATATTTTTGGCACATAAAAATACTTTTATAATAACTTTTACAAACATCTAATAGGTAGTAGTATTTATTATACGGATAGTTACATTCTGTATTAATAAATGAACAATTTTTAAAGTTGTTACATAAAATTTTTAAATTATTATTTAACTTTTTTTTTCATTTTTTTCATTTCACTTAAATATTTGTTCTGTAAAACATTACATACTAATATTTTAGTTTTTTGAAAGTATTTCAGCATTGTTACTAATTCTATTATTATTTTGTTAGGGTTAGTATCATTATCTCCTATACATATAATTAGATAATTATCTTCCGAATCGTCCAGTTTATAAATAGGTTATAGAATTTCTTCCGTAGTGGCATAGATTTTTGTAGTTGAAAAGATCTGGTAATTTTTGTACTGAGTATTATTTCTTGATTGTATAAGTAGTGTAGCCAACCCTCCGAATATAATTAATTGGGATTTTGGTTTGTTTTCAATGGGTTTAGAAAGTTGCTTATTGCTGTTTACTTTGTTTTCTTTATGCAGATTTAATAAAGTGACATCTGTTGTGTATTGATCGCACTTTTTAAAAGTAAGTTTGTGCACTTGTGATGACAGGTTTCTTATGG